ATTCTCTGATTTTTAAATAAAAAAGAATGAGATTTTTTTTCCCGCCTTCTGTTTTTAAATCGTCTTTAGCATTCATCTTTCCAAGCTTTTTCTCCTAAGCCTTTGAAAAAAAAAAAAAAAAAAAAAAAAAAAAAATTCCACAGAGAAATAGAGTCCTTTTTCTGGGAATGTGGAGGAAAGCTCAAATGCTACAGGATTCGAGGTTAAAATGAACAAAAAAATCGACCTCCCACACTCAAGAATGATCGTGGAATAACCTGGTGCTTCAGGTTAGCAGGGTGGAAGTCCAGGTGGAAAGCACGTGGTTCACTTAGCTGGAGCCCTTGTTTAGAGTGGGCCAGTAAGCATCCTGGGTCCAACCCTGTCAGGTTTCATACCTTCACAGGAGCAGTGGCTTTGGCCACAAACACCACAACACTGTCAAATGCTCAGAGGCAACTGACAGGCACTGTCATCTCAGTCTTTTTGCTACCTTTTATACCAATTAAATACCTTTCTCTGAATGTTAGTCCCCATGTTGATCTTGAGATCTTTGAGGATGCTGTGTGTGTTTGTTCTATGTTTACAATTCCTTTGTTTTGCATAACTGTTTTGGTTTATTTCATTATTAGTATTTATTTTCAAGCCAAATGTTTGTAGTCCTTCCACCTCTTTCTCTTCATTTTTCTGACACTAACTTGTAGATGTTTGTTGGAGTCTTCTCAGAAAGAGCTGGGCAGAAGGCATGTCCTGGGCACTTTGCTGGATTGGGAGATTTACACACAAGAGTTTACAAACCATGGATGTCTACGATGTGCCATCTATAGTGATTTTTAGAGGCTATTTTTAAAAGCTCTGTCCTCTGGAAATAAAGTGTGAATATCTGGGTATACACTCGATGCCCAGCCACCATCCTCTGTGTTGTTTGCACAGGAGGAGTCCCATGTGCAAAGTGGGTCTGCTTCACATTCTGCATCTCCCATTAAAAAAGGTGGAAACTTCAATTAGCACCAGTGTGCTAGTGCTGGATGGACCTCTAAGGAAGACAGTAGTATAGCTTTACAAGTATTGACTGTGAAGCTGGGGTCTAGCAAAGGAAAACATTACTTTTGCCTGCTTGTTTCCTGCAGTTCAAGACCTCAGAACACACCAGCAGAGGTTCAGCTATCTAGCTGGCAGCTACTCTTCGTAGATCCTTGCCTGAACAAACTGAAGCCCTGTTACACTGTTGGCGCTGAGCAGCCCTTAGCAAGACTGATGTAATTTTCTGCTACTGGATGAAAACCTTTACTGGGAGACAAACCTTGTCCTTGTTCCAGCTATAAACTTTCAAAACAACACAATGAAAGACCAAGCAATTGAAAATTTTTGCACCATTGTGTCATATGAAAAAGTTTCAATGTATAGTGTAGAGATTGCTAACTTGTGCTATTAACATTTTGACAAGCGTGTAGTATTGTTTTCTTTTTTAAAAAACCATTTAGTATTCCTGAGCTAGCTATGAATATAAATTTTACCCCATGGGTAGGATTTTACTGTTAAACGCCATAATAAAGCACACTAATCTTGACACTGCAGATGGAAATGTGAACCAAAACCAAAACCAAGCAAACGGAATCCCAACCCCAAATCCTGCGTAAAAAAAGCTGAACAAACCTTTCTTCATTTTGATATTTGCATGCTCCTATATGGACTGGCTGTGGCAATGTAATGCCTGTATAATGTTTTCAAATAAAAAAAAATGCTTTATGAAATTATGGTTATTAGTTTCCTTGTCTTCTTCCTTACTAGTTTCTTAGAATCAAATCCTTTTTCTAAAGTGTAAATCTTGACCAAGGACATATTTTTTGTGTGTGTCTGCTGCAGACTTCTTCCCCCTGAGAAATGGTTAAGCTACAGCTCCTCTGAGGCAGCAATTGACGTGCCTACAAACAAATACCATCAGGGTCACTATCCTACCTGGCCCCCATTTGCTGCTCCAGGATGCTACAGGGTCTCCTGTACCTCCTCTGTCTCACCTGCTGCATTGAAAATCCAGTGTTGCTGCAGCAATTTGCTGCTTTATGTCTGATTTTCCAGTGTGAATGTTTGCTGAGTTATGAAGAGCTCCAGAAGTTTAGTTACTGAGCACAGTTTTATCATGCTAACAGTTGATTTGTACTTTCCTCCAACTGTGCTCAAGAGTCTCTCCAGCATTACAGAAATCTCTTTTTGTTGCCTGGCTAGAATTCAGCCTGAGTTTTTGAGTCATACCAAGAGTAATTGCTTGGAATTACTCTATAAATTGATTATAAATACCTATAAACAGATGTTTCTTTGTTTAACAGCAAACATGTTTCCACCCTGCAAGCACATTCAAGCTACCAGTCCCCCTTTGGTTTTTCTTTGTTTAGCATTAGCTCTCCAAAATACTAGAAATCCAGAAGCTGCCTGCTTAACATCAATATGCCATAGCATATGATTCAGGAAGCATTATTTTTACATGTATAAATGTTATTGTATTAAATCTGCTCCACAAATCAAGATAAAAGATTTGCAAAAGCTTTGGAAATTGTTTGCACAGCCACAGACTTCTTGCCATAGCGACTGCCAGATGGTCACCAAATGTGAACAGCACAGCAATGGTGGTGACATCAGTGTGAGGGCGTTGGAGACATCGTCCTCCCTCTCCATTTTGAACTGGGGGGTCATGCACTGCTGTACTGTATTCTGCTGTATTGAGAAAGCTCATTCCATAGGGCTGGGGTCACTAATTAGACACAGACTGGCTGTGAGCCATCAGTGTGAGGCAAGAAACAAGAAAACCAACAGCCAAATTGATTACAAAAGTCTAATTGTATCCCTCAGATTTTGCAACTGTGTTGTAGCTAGGGTTTCAGTTTCAGTGCACGGCTCACAGTGTTTCTTTAGGCCACTTTGTGGCTGGATGGCATGGAGCAGCATCTACATCCACCGCTCCCTGAGAACTCTCCCTGGAGTGCAGGAAGGTTGTTGCTGATCTGCTCCTCACCAGTTTCCCTTGGGTAAGGAAGATTCTTCCCTGCTCTAAAGCAGCCATGAGGAAGAATCAAAGTTTGCTCAAAGCAAATGATAAGGCTCCATGTGGAAAGTCAGCACCTTCTGCAGCCATTTCTCTTGTGAAAGAATAAACTTGACATTGTTTGGCAGCATTTTTCTTTTTTAATTCAAAACTATGCACTGAGGTCCCCTGGTATTTACAAGATCAGAATCTGCCCTTCTGTATATATTCAATAGTTGTAGAATCTTTTTAAAGAATACAGGTATTGCCAATGCCAGTATACTTGACAGATATTTGTGAATTGAAATGAGGTAAAGCTGATTGTATTGGATTGAAAGATTTTATTCTACTTTAAGCTGTCATTTATAACCCTGAATGATAGTAGAGTTTTCTATGACTCCTGATTATGTACAATGCTCTCAGGCAATTTCCTAGTGCTAGCCTTATCTTAATGCATCATTAATTTCTTACTGTCAAATGCATTATTTATACTAACTATTGCATTTTAATCACCATTTGTTGATAACAATGGACTTATCCAATTTTTATATAATAAAATCATCAGCATGAAATCTTCCCACCCTCATTATGTGAAATCAGTATACATTCTTGTCAAGAGCTAACTATTGGATTTGCCATGGATAAACGCGTGGCTTTTTAATTCAAGACCTTACTAAAGAAGAGAGAGGTAATGAATATGTGCTGAGTTTACATGATCATTGAGCACTGAAATGCTAAGAAACTCCATTATGTTGGATTTTGAGACACTTTGCATACAGACTAGTAACTGATAGTTGATAGGCTTGAATCTTTACAGATGCAGGCTGCCTGCAATCCTACGGACTGACATCAGGCAAGGTAATGCATATTTAACTTCGTGCTGCCTGCAGTAGCCAGTTTCACAGAAGCCTGGCTTTCTGCCAGGTTCATAGCTAAACTGGCAATCACAATTTGCATATTCTTAAAATGACTGCTTGCCTAAATGAAATTCCTGAGTGAGAAGGGGAAAGGGACTGGAGTAATCACAACAGTAATCTGAACGCTCTCATTATGTGACTCCCTTTGAGCTTTTGCTTGAATTATCTAATGTAGTTCTTGGCATTAAACAGATTTGCAGGTGCTAAATAGGTCACACAGGTATGCAACCATCAGTCTGGATTTTGTAAGACTTTATGTCCCCAGTCTGCTTCTGTGAGTCTACACTCTAATTAAGAAAAGCGAGCCCACAAAGCAGGATGTTGTTCATGTTAAACTGCTGCAGTTCAGACTTGCCACACTCAGCCTCCCTTCAGCAGGATGCAGTTAACAACCATGTTGACAAGGAGCGTTGGAGTTGCAGGATGTACTCTGTGGTGCAGCCTTGAAGCACACTGCTTCCTGCAGTGCAAGAGGCACATGGCCAGCAGGCAGGTGGGAAAAGCACAGAATAATAACCTTTATTTCAGCCTTGATTTTCAATACAACATATTACAGAAGGAAACAGAGTTTTTAAGTGAACAGGTGTAGGCTGAAAGGAAAAGATATTTCCCTAAATCAAAATACCCCTTGAATACAATTCTGCTCTATACTATTCTGATTCAGCCAGTGGTATAGCAATTATATGCATGTCATTAGTGATTTGAAAAAACAGGTCTGAGAAAATATGCTTTTGTCTGTCATTTGACTAACAGAGAAGGTGAAAACTCTTACTTGCTGACACTGTCTCTGGTGTTGAAATTAAGAGGGGTGGATGGTGGAGGATGAGCCACAGGTAGCCCAGAAGTCATTGAATATAGCAAGTCACTAATAAAAAAGCTATATTATTTCAGGTTGTGAAAGTGACATTTAGACTGAATGAGTGATGGTAACCTACATCAGTAGAAAAAAAGAAACAAGCATATGAAGCAAAAATGTCTCTCCTATTTGTAATGACTTAAATTAATTGCAGGGTTAGCACTGGCAATCCATTCACATAAATAGAGACCAGCTTCCTCTTCCCAGCTCTTCTCTCCTGTTGGCCATATTTCCTCTCTGCAGGTGAATGCACCGAGGAAAGACTTACAGGTTCTTCTTTGTATGTTTGTTTGTTTTGTTAGTTTATTTTTAAGAAAAGAGAAAAAAAGTTTACCCAAGGTAAAGCCATGATAACTTGCAGTTTCTCCTTCTCCTTGAACGAATGTGTACTTTGAGCTGTGTTTGGTGCAAATATGAGATGAGGCTTAACAGGCTGGCATTTGACATCACAGGCTGTGAAGAGGGTTCTGAATGCTTGTCCCCCAGATCTAAAATTCCTCTTATCCTGCAGACCTCACTCCATGAGAGAGAGTAGGTATACTGACCCAGGTGAGATTTTTATCTTATTTTCCTTCATTTACGTGATCACATTCATCATGTAAACTCAGCACACATTATTTCCTAGGTACTGGTGGGGAGGAATGTGTGTCCAAATTTTCTTGTGCTGATACAACTATCAGACTTCAAATTTTGTGGATACTTGTAGGGCTGTGCTCTGCAGAGCCAGTAGTCTGGCACATTCCACAGGCTTACTTTAATGAGAATTACTGTTGTAAACTGCTGAGCTAAGGAAAGTAATTGCAGCAGCTGCACTAGCAATGGCTTCTATCACTGCCGTGGAAAGAAAAACATCTCTGCCAGCTACAGCACAGGTATTTTATTATGACGGAAATATAGGTAGATTTTACTATGAATACACATTGTAAAATATTGGGGGGCATGGGTAATGTCTATTAAAAAGATACCCCAGCCCTCCCATTTTAATTTGTATGCTTTCCTTGTGCTTCTACTGTTCTTTCTGCCCACATGTGACACCAAGAGAACTTTTCCACAACAGCGTTTGAGTCTTGGAGCAAAATACCAACACAAGGCTGAAAAAAAGCATTGGCAGCCCCAGCCACATGAAGATCAGTTCTGTGCCTATATCACATGGAGTGTTGAAGGCAAGATGGTATCTGCAGGCCTGATGATGGTGGGCTGGGTGCTGCCACATACACATCTCCACAAGTTGCCTCAGCATTGCAGCAGGCTGCTGCCAGCCTGGCCCCTCAGTTAACATTATAAGACTTTCTGGAGATAGCTCCTGAAAAAACAAGCTGTACCTAACTTGATCATGTGGCAATTTGTGCTGGTGGACTTCTTGCTTTTCACTTCAGACCAGAAGGCCTAGCTGTCCAGCTGAGCTGTAACACTGATTGTTCTCCAAGGCTTCCAGATCTTTCTGAAGTTATGATGAAAATAAAAATTAGTTGCAATTGTAGCTGGCTCCTCCCTACAAGGTGTATTGTGAGGTGTCTGCGTTGGATGCATGGAAATCTAGAGCAGAAATGGACAAAGCCCTTGAGAACCATCTCCCAGACATTGAAGACAGAAGAAAAATTCCTCAAACAAGAACGCTACCATGGTACTTGATTCTTAGCAGAAGTATTAACGTTGCCTTTCTTGTTTGGTTTTCTCCTACCACTCATAAATGATTTTTTAGAAATGTATATTAATATGTAAGGGAAAATTTTTGGTGAGTGGGTTGCTTGTATTGTGGAGAGATAAAATCTCTGTGAACATGAGAGATGATCTGTATGCTGGAGCAGAGGGAGAATAACTATCCTTGTTTGGTTTTATTGGTTTTATTCATTTTAGTCTGTTGATATTGGCTGTCTGCTGGCTTTTCTTTGCAAAAGCTGAATGGAAATTAGGAAGTATTTGTATCTGAGGCTCCATAAAAGAAGCATCCAGAGTTTGCATTGACGGTTTAATCTAATGACAAATGCCAGGCACTTTTTGTTATTTCAAAAAAAAAATTTTTTTTTTTGAAACATTGTAAGATTTTAAAATTACCTCAATCTCATTATGTCAACATTTCTGGACTAAAGCAGCTTCCAGATCTTATGTTCAACATTTCCCCTACTGTTAGCTTCATACTTGGCTTGCAACAGACCTAGGAAGGGAAAAAAAAGTCACCTTTTTCAGTTTTCATTCTGCAAGGAGAAAAGATGAGGAAAGAAAAATAAAAGGAGAAAAACTACTGGGGCTCTGGACTCCTGTGTGACAGTGTCTTTACCAGCAGAGCCTAAGGGATCCTCTATTTTGATCTGTAATTGTCACTAATTCATTTAAGGAGGAGGAGGGGGCAGAAAGGAAAACAAAACAAAATAAAAAACCCCAAACAAAGTACTGCTAAGATACTTGAATATGCTGATTTCCATGAAATTTAAGGTGTGGTCACACCACTCACTGACAACTAGAGAAAGTATGATACCCAAAAGGAAGATGGCAATGAATTACAAACATTATAAAGATTTGATATCCAAATTTTCTATGTGTTTACAACTGTGCTAGACTCTAAAAACTTTTAAAAGACAAAATCAAAAATGATAAATAGAATAAATGTTTGAAATACACCTATTCTTTCCTGGTTTTATGTGGTAGAGCTCTTAAAATTTGAATGTATTGCTGTATTTAAAACTAACACTATAAGTGCTGAATTGCTCTTACTAAGGTTTCTTGTTTCTCCAGTGAGATAAAGAAATGTTTTGTGGGTTGCATTTAAACATAGCAGCTGCTTAATAAATAGATCTTGCATTTAAGCAGAAAAGAGAACTGCTAAAAAAAAAAAAAAAAAAAAAAAAAAAAAAACCAAAGTAAAATGCACAGATAATTCTTGAAATATATTGTTCTCTTCAGCTTTTAACTGATATTTCTAATTCAATGGGCTTTCTCATTTTGAATACCAGCCCCTTGTCCCACCCACAGGGCACCGTCAAGGCACACATACACATGGAAACGATTCTACATAAGGCTACTTAATGGCAGACAGCTGCAAGCACTGACTTTTTCTGGAGTTGTGTTTTGCAAACACTAAGCTAATGCCCTTGCCTTCTGCCCAGCTATCAGATGTTGCTAATGCTTTAGAATGGCTCCTGTCCAGTCTTTAGAGAGATGTACCTATGTGAACACATCTCTGACCCTTACTGTCTTTCCCTGCTTGACTGGAAAGCATATTAACATCATCCAGCAAGCCTCTTTTATCTTTTTTCTATTTATCTTTTTGTTTTGCTTTCTTCTCAGCATTCGAACTTATCCGCCGAGTGCTCTTAACTATACCCCTTTCAGCTCTTCTCTATTTATCCAAATCTTTGAGAACTTAATTCTTTGGTTGCCTTTTCTCTTTTTTCTCCATTTTACCCATGGGCAAACTTGTTCACTCTTCCAGGTGAATGTTAATGACTCTCAAATTTTCCTCTCCAATTCAGGTCAGCATTCTCTATCCAGACTGAGCTGTCTTCTAACCTAACATTCCTATATGGGTGACTGCACAGCTAAAGCCTTGCTCAGTCTTTTCCCACTGGAGCATCTCACTTCTTTTCTTAATTACTATAAACCCCCAGTCCTGTACCCATTACTCCTTTGGATGGATGTGCGTTTTGTCCTGAGGAGATGCTGCTGCTCATCCTGGTTTGTTTCTCCTTAAAGGCTGTTCTTTGGGCACAGCACTTCAGAGGTCAATTCCACTTCTTTTCTGCTTCTGTTGCAAATAATTAGGGGGAGAAATAATTAGCACAAGTGGTTCCAGCAATAGAGGTTCCTCAGTCTTAGCGCTGAAGTGTTTTGTATTCAACTGATGTTAGGCTAGTTGGGGATATTTGGGGGAATCTTTTTTTTTTCCTTAGTACCTAGTAGCTAATAACCTTTGATCATTTCTAATAGAACAATACTCTATTATCTGAAATCTTGTAGCAAATTAATGTAACAGTCACTGAGAGACCAGATATTTTAAACAGGCATCAGTTTATTACACTCTTTTCTCTCTGTAAAGATATTTCTGAGTTCAGAAGGGATTTCCCTTGAAGAGGCAGAGATGTGAGTGAAGAGTCACTATAAATAACTAATTATCAAAAAAATATTTTTAATTGTGTTTGTGGATGTGTATACTGCCTTGAAAGGAACACCTCATGCTTATGTGACTCTCAAACACCGAAGCTGAAGAGATGAGTCGCTCACACCCAGCTCTGCCAGGTGCTCAGGATGAGAGGTGAGAACACCTGTAAGGCAGCGCTGCCCTGAGGGGACGGGCGGCAACTTGTAATGGGGAGTCTATACAGCAGCCTTCCATCTCCAGTGCTTTCCCACAGCGCAACAGGCTCCATCAAAGAACAAGGCATATTGTAATTTTCTAGTAGTTTATTATATAGTGGAGCTTCTTTAACACGTATCACTATCTCCTCTTCTGATTTTCTTAAATCTTTGCCTTTGGGCCAATCCATAATCACTTCAAAGATTCTCAGATGAGTGAGATTCTGTATTTGAGCCAGCTGTTTGATCAGTGCAATCAACTTACTCCGTTTAGCATCAGTATGCTCCCTTTGACTGCTGGCTGAAAGTTCAAGGTGCCAAAAGGAGTTGTGCTTCAGTACCAACTTCTTGTGAAGCAGCTTGTGACCTCAACAGAAGGGAAGAGGTCTCTGAGAGACCAGACCTGGTAGACAGCTGCTTTATGCCCTTTGTCTCTTAGGCAGCTATACAGAAAGTCCACCTGTACCCTTTTGAGTCCTTGGAGTACCATCTTAGATAACCATACTGAGGATGCATGGAGCCTCTGGGCCAGTTGCAATTGAGTGCTTTTGCCACTAATTTCTAGTTAGTCTCACATTGACCTCCAATATACTTTGCTCTTGGGATCACTTTATCGCTGCAGAAAAACAAATGGGTTTGGTCCTTTTATAATGTGATAGCATTAGAGTATGCTGTGCACTGGTATCCACTAGAGCATTACGTTTCTGTGCCAGGCCATCCAGTCCACTCAGTCCAATAAACCTGACTGTCCACCTAGCTGGAGGCAGAGTCTCTCTAGTGTTAGTTATTGTATTCATCGTTCATCTCATTTATAAGCACCAGAAGGCCCGTTGTCAACCTCAAAGATAAGGTTGGACCATCTTCTCAATCTGGAGAACTGCCTGCTGGAAGCCAGAATTGCGGTCTTCCTGGAAGCACCCTCTCTTGTGATTGTTTTCCATTGCAACTCTAGTACCTGTGCCCAGAACACTGAGGTGGGTTTTCCATCCCACCTTCTCATATCCTCTCCATGGTCACATACATAAAACCCCAGGATGGTGTATGGCATGTACCCGCTATATCCTCTCTCTGGAGCAGAGGAAAGCTTGCTTCTAATAGGTGAGATATTAATTTATACTGGTGGAATACAGAGCATATTGTCTTTGAATTGCTGGAGCTCCTGGGAGTTTCCAAAGCCAAGATACAGGCCCATCGGGGAGGGTGCGAGACTATCGTCATATCATCAAAAAAGGCTGCCCACTTCATCTACTGTTGTTTTTTTTTGTTATCTTTCATGTTCATTCCAACCAGGGTGCTGGCGTACGGTGCACTCCATACAACGGTCACTGGTTTGTAAATAAAAAAAATAAACTTAGAGTGATGTTTGTTTATTTTGGAGTCCTTGTGTGCAAGAGTTGTACTGTTATCCATTAGCAATAAAGCATCTTCATTTTAACATCTAATACTTCAAAATGAATGTCAATACAGCCAGGTCATTTCTCCTTATTTACCTCTCTATGCAGAACTATTTGTATCTGATCTATCTGCCAAGGGAAAAAATAAATATATAAATAAAAATAAAAAATTGACACAATGTGTTCAGCTGCCATGGTTCAGTCATTGTTTTGTTTCTCTATTTTCTGCAAAAGCAGTTGAAGTTTTAAATTTCTTTCGATGTCTGCATCCAAAACATTGTTCCTGCTCTTTGTACAGAAAGGAATTAGCAATTGGTGTCATTTCCCCTACTTCAGTCTTTTCATCTTTTTAACCCACACTGGAAATGTGTGCAGTTTGAAGATTAATGCATTAACGTTGTGCACTAATGAAAGAATTCAGTAGGATTCTGTATTATTAAATGTTCGCTCTGAATCACTTTCAAATCATCTGCGGATTAAAGGCAGGCAAGTAAGGTTAAATTTGAGTTACTCTGTATTTACCTCTAATTGTTTACTGCAGTGGCTGTGATGGGTCCACTCTTCACTTTGGGATCAAGTGGTTTATTTCATCTTTTTTCTTCTTGAAAACAATTCACTCTGTCAAAAGAAAGTTAACACAGAGTTACAATGGGAATTAAAAATCCAAACAAGATGAGTTCAATTGTAAGAAATGACTGCTGCATAGGTTTACTTTCTCCATGGAAATTACATCGCTGTGCCAATCCTTCAGTTTTTCTTTTGTCATTTACAACATCTTGTCCCACAGAGAAAACTTCTTACACTACAACTGAATTTCAGGATTTATCTTTTCATTTGTAATTATTCAAACAGAGGATTTATCCCTTAAGAAGTTTATGAGTGAGTGCATTTGTACCCGATTGATAGAACTGTTTTTAATAGAAGTGCAATGGAAAACTTTAATACTTAGAAAATCTTTTCCTAGTGAAATAAGTAGATAAGCCTGTTCTGACAATTGACATTTAGATTTGTGTATGGGAACTGCTGAGTCACGGCATGAACCTCTGATTGATCACCTGAGGTGAGCCTTGAGTCAGCCAGAGGAGCACAGGTGAAGGCAATTCACCTGTGCTGCCGGAAGGGGGGGAGCCAGGCTGCACCCCTCCTGGACCTATTTAAGAGCTGGCTACCAGAGGGGAAGGGTCTCTTCTGGAGATCCCCTCTTTTGGTATCTTCTGGTGAGCTCAACCCAAGGGTAAGTTCTTCCACTTATTCTCTTTTTGTGATCGTTGTCTGCTTTGCCTTACTCTCTTGATTATATTGTGATTATAACATCTTGGTTATACAGATTTGTGAGTTGACACATATGATTTTTCTAATTGACTTCAAGTGTTAAGCATGAAAGAAAACTTCAGACGTGCACTGCAGCTCTGGTCAATATGGTCTCCTTCATTTATATGCAAAGCAACTCTATATTGTCTGAGTTTTATCTTGGTTCTCTTGGGGTAAAAGGCAATTCTTTATATGTAAGTATGAACATATAACATGTATTTCCCTTCTTTCTCTTCAGTCATTCGAGGACATGTGGTAGCTCACTATGTGGATGCTCTATGTGTACAGTGCAGTCACCACATAATTGTTTATGAAGGGGTGGAGGCAACAATAGGATGTGAGAAATGAGAATAAAAATGCATGTTATGAACAAATCTGACTGGATGAAGGTGGAAGGAGGCTGTGTCTGACCTGGGTGTTGTGTTCTGTTCACGGATGTGCCTTACACGCACTGATACAAGGTTTGGAATGCAGCAGTTCTCTCTGGCTGTGGCTTCCAGCAGGTACCCAGTGAGAAGGAATGAGGTCCCCAAGACACAGCACAATGTGACCCCACAAGGCAGAGAGAAAACTGAACACAAATGCAGGGTAGAAGTAGTGGCAGTGTGTGCATACTGCTATTAGCAAGAGGGCACTGACATGCAACCTGGGAATGGCAGCAGGAGCTAGGACATCACATCTGCTGCCTGAAACACTGTGGTTGTACTCATTCTTTTAATTAACCATGCTTATGATTTGCTGAAAAACTTAGTAAGTGACGTATAGGAATGAGGTGATACTTGAACTATCTGCTTGGCTGCACAGTATCTTTGTTTAATAAAGATTAATTTATCCTACATGCATCGAGTACATTGCAGGATAATGTAAGTCTTTGGTTCTCAGTTTAAGTTTACAGTTTTCTTGAATAACAATTCATCACTGCCATCAGTGACACTTTTCTACACTGCATGTTGAGGACAATTAATAAACTGACTCTTGCTGCTAATCATGGGATCTTTTAAGTCTACATTCAAAATGCTACCTGAAATCTGATACCCTTATATTATGAATAATGTAGCATATTCTCTTGGGTAAGTGATAGGACAAGGGGAAATGTCCTCAGGTTGCACCAGAGGAAGATCAGGTTGGACGTTAGGAAAAACTTCATCTCTGAAAGAGTGGTCAGGCAGTGGAACAGGCTTGACCAGGGAGATGGTGGAATCATTACCCCTGGAGGTGTTCAAGAAATGTGTAGATGCAGTACTTAGGAGCATGGTTTAGTGGGCAATATTGGTGGTAGGTGGACAGATGGACTAAATGATCTTTGAGATCTTTTCCAACCTTGTTATTTCATGATTCTATGATTCTATATAGGACTACTGAAAACCTTTCATACATTCCTTGTATTTGCCTTGTATCTTCTTTTTCAGTACACGCCAGTTTTGAGGCTCCACGACAGCAACTATAAACCTAAGAGAGCAAAAATTAAAAGTTCAATTTCAGAATTGAGAAAAAATGGGAAGAGATAAAAAGTCTCCTATGTGGGAAGAATTTACCATTTTTGAACAAACAAATATCTCTCATAAAGATTTTTAGCTTCCTCAGACACGTGCTGCATGCTATGTTCAAGCAGAGTTCATTCAGAGCTACATGTGAAATAGAACAAATAATTGGTACAAGCAAATTGGAGTAATTGCAGAAAGGATAAGAAGTCTTGAGGGACTATCAGAAATATCTGAAATGTGGAAAAATTGCATTAGGAAGAAAAAAGGCACCATAACAGTAGGCAAAATCACAATCTCTGTCCATAGTTGTGAGCTTTCCTGACTACGTGTGACACTTCAATCCCAAATATCTGAGATATTCTGTTTATTCTTCATGATTCTTGTCAATATGGTATCAATGTATCATAAGGAAGATTTAGGAAGAAGAATGATGAAAAAGAAAGGTAGAGATGACCCCATTTGAGGCAAATTGATAATTTTCCAATAATTTCTTCTACCGTAGATGAAATGCGATGTCCCCAAACTCCCTTTCTTCAGTTGTAGACCTAGTCTTTCACCCAGTATGTGATATTTCAGAGGACTGGCATAAAATCCACCTAACCAAAATGTCAAAATAAACAAATGAAAGGTGAGCGGTCAGTCAATGCAAAAAGAACCATCTGCATTACTCAGATGAAGTTAGATTTTGCTTAACTTGTCATATTGTGTGCACGTTAGAGAAGTTGATGCATAAACCTGTCTGAGGAAAATCACTGTTTCTAATCTTCAGAATTCAAGTGTTTGTTTAATTGTTTTCTAATCTATGAGCACGTAGATAGAGAGATTGATCAGTAGATAGATAGACGTTTGAGAGAACACTGTTCACCCCATGAGTTCTGGCTTTGGTTTAGAGAAAATCATTGGTTTTATTAAGATTACTAGGGACTGAGAAATCAAAGAACCCTAAAATTCAAGGAATGGTATTATCTAGTAAGATTTCTAATGGAGAGCTGATATTTTCAATTATTTCTGCTATGAAGGATGCTTCAAAAGTAATGTTCCTATTTTATTAAGCTGGCCCACAGTATCAGAGGTGAATGTTGGTGGCATGGCTGTAGAGGTTGAACTCTCCTACCAGTACTCCTTTACATTTTGTTGCCATTTGACAGATGGCAGCAGAGGGGCAATCTGACGGAATGGAGTCTGATATGGCAGTGCATATGAAGCACAGGTGTGCCACTGAATTCCTCCATATGGAAACAATTGCAGCCATTGACATTCCTCAGTGCTCACTGAACATTTAAGGAGACAAAAGAGTGGATGTAAGCACAGAGAGGCAGTGGGTGGTGTGTTTCAGCAGTGATGACAGCAATAGAGGATCACCTCTGCTGGTGCAGGTTTTAACGAGTAGAGAATGCAAGCTCTTGTTCATCACTGGCAAAAACGTGCAGCTAGTGGTTGTGACCATGTTGAGAAACAGTGTTTTGTAGCTGAGAATTTGCTCTATCAAGTAATTTTATTGTGTTCCGTCTGTTGTAAATAAAATGGAAATAAATAGGAAGCATTACTTTCAGAGCAGCCCACATATATTTTCAGTATTTTGTAATTGTCACAGAATTGTAAGAAGAGTGGAGAAGTAATATTAAAGACTTTTTTTTTTTCCTTCATTATCTATTCTATTATATAGTGCTGGGAAGAAAATTATCTCCCTCATTTCCTGAACCACTATGTGACTAGCAGAAAGATATTGTAACTTTTAAAATCTATCGAGGCTTCAAAAAGATGCGTTCCCTTCAATAACAAACCCATAATTGTATGCACTGTCAGCACTGGCATTTCGGATTCCTAATGCTGTTCCCTTACTGTTTGTTTAATCTTTCATAATCACATACTGGGCATCTGCAGACAATTTACCCTAGATAGATAATGGTCAGAAAGCAGGGGGTTTTCTGCAAAGAAACGAAAATGTAATGTTCAATACTTATCACTGGAATAAAAGATGAAGTCAGTTGCTAACATGGACCAAAAAGAAAAACATCAGGATCTTAGCAAGAGAGTAAAGTTAGAACACAATGGCAAGTTTGTGACCAGCTACAAAGCAGAGGGTTTTGTGTTTGATGACCTGTGTATGTTGTTGCTAGATGCAGGCATCTCTGTTCTTTTCCTTGGGCACCAAGTGCCTTGATAGTGCATGATGATACATAAACCCTCTGCTGTGAGTTGGGACATAAGGTGACTTCAGGTTCAGATGGGTAAAAGACAAAAAGTTGTAACCTGAGCAGCAAGGAAAGCAGAAGTTTCAGCACTAGAGAATGTTCATCCGTATCCTGAGGAGCTAGTACAACGTGCTTTCTGTCTCCATTTAGAAGTACAAGCTCAAAAGGCTGACAAACACATAAAGGGCTCTTTTCCTTAAGGAAATAAGCCCTCTAAATGCCACCATCTCTTGCCATAACTGAAGCTAAGAGCAAGAGGGTGTTTGCCCACTTTGCATTGTAGCTGGACAAAAAGAAAAAAACACTATTTAAAACAATAAATTTATCATAAGGTAGTGGTAACCATAGTGTTGCCATGTAGTATTGCCCAGAGGGATGTATAAGAAAGACATAAAACTACGAAGACAGTGAAATCTAGAGGGCAGGATGTATGAGGAGCAACTGAGGTCCTTTGGTTTGCTCAACTCAGATCAGAACCAGCTGAGGTGGTTGCAGCTCCTCACAGGGAGCAGAGAGGCAATGCTGAGCTCTGCTCTGTGTGACAGCAGCAGGGCCCGAGGGAACGGCATGGAGATGCGTCAGGGGAGGGCAGCTGGGGGTTAGGGAAGGTGTCTGCAATGGAGGGCGGTGGGGCACGCTGTGGTTTCCATGTGCAAGAGAGACAAGTATGAGTGCCGCAGGCTAAAATCAGGCTTTGTGGCACACTTCCTCTTCCAACCAAGGCAAACATTGATTTAATTGCTCTTAGTCTATAGTGTGTCTTCTCAGAAAAGTGTCATTGGGTTCCTTCCTTCTCTGGGTGACTTGTTTGCAAACAAAATGCGCTGTTCATGTGCCAAGGGCATTTGGGGCTAGTCTAACAGAGGAGCTGTTCTGAACAGACCATTGCTACTGCAGTCCTTAGCATAGATCTCAGAAGGGAATGAATTGCTTCTGGGGCTTTTTTGGGGTCCTTACCATAGGGGACTTTGTCAGCTGTGTGGTGTTATATTTTACCACTTGTATTAAATAGAAACACAAACCACCTGCTGTTCTGCAGCCTGAAGTGTGAAGATTGCTCTGGCTTTTGTCATCTGGTGTTCAA